CACACACACACACACACACACACACACACACACACACACTCTCACACACACACACACTCACGCATGCACACACATGCTTCCCACGCAGCATGAGCCATTCACATGCATCTTCCAATGGCTCAGCAGGGTGTGGTGACCAGGAATGAGGAATAAGGTGAATCTATTTATTTCCTTACTGAGATTGAATAAATAAATCACGCCCAGTGAAACCAGTTTAATATCAAGAAGAGATTTAATTTTATAGTTTACTGGAGAACCATTGCATTTGCATTAATATCTGTGCTAAATACTTGAATGATTTTGTTACAGTAACAAAACATTATTGGGTTACACTTTATTTTAAGGTGTCATTGTTACAGTGTAATTATACATATAAGTACTGAGTAATATTAATTAACTACATGTACTTACTATATGGTTAGGCTTAGGCTTAGGGTTACTTGCATGTAATTATGCATAATTTATTGTTATTATAATAGTAAGTACATGTAACGTGTAACAAAAGCACCTTAAAATAAAGTGTTACCCATTATTGTTACAATAATTTTGTTACATGGTAACAATGTTGAAATTTTAAGATTGTCACTTACACTTAAAACAGTTTGGTGTAGGATTTATTTAGCAACAATTTTCACTTATAAATTGCTAGTAAATTTCACAAATAATTACAAAGAAATTGGAAATAATACATTGAATTAAACATTAAATTTTGAAGTAAATAGACTGAAATAGTATTTTATTTTTGTCAAACATACTTTCATAATCTTTGTTTTAGTTACAACTTAGAAAATATTATATATATATATATATATATATACAATGTACTGACCAAAAAACAAACCTGCTTGACACAGAGTAACTTTGGGACAAAGATTCAAGTCTTAAGTAACATGTCAACTAAAGCTTACAATATAAAACAAAAACAGAACGCAGACAAAAAAATTAGCTTTTATTTTCACAAATGTTGTCCTCGTAATGCCGTGCATGCTTGTCAATACAACAGGGAGATGTTAAAACACTTATTGCTCTGAAAGCATCAATGACGTCAAGCGTCGAGCCTCAGAGAACGAGAATTGTCTCTAGAATTTCACAAATCACTTTTGTTACGTTTTATTTTAACTGTGTGAGCCAGAAATATTTGACATATCGTCCAGACAGATTCAAGCTGCTAATAAACACTGGGACAACTAAACTCCTCCTCTTAACAGAGTCTTTGTTTCCAAAACTGATATGCAAATATTTGTCAAGAAAGGTGATTCATCTTAAGAACCTCTTAAGAGTCTATTCACTCTCTGTCCTCTGTGTGCCAAATTACAGGTGCTTGAAATGTCTCTTACCCTCAGGTGAAGTGTTTGAGATCTACAGTAAACTGTCATTACACTACCAGAAAAAATCATGTGCATGTGAAATGTCTTTGTGGTTTCACACACGCACGCACACGCACACACACACACAC